TTTGTGAAAATTATTTTGTATAATATTTATTATAGAAATGTGTATTTTTATGATATTTCGTTATAATAAATATTTGGAAAAAAATGTGTTTTTGTTATAATTGTTTATATATTTTATTTTAATTATAATTATGTTGGAAGAAATATATTTATTTTATATATTATATATTTATTAATTATTAATTATGTATTTTGTTATAATTATTTGGGTTGAGAGAAATATGTTTATTCAATATATTATTTATTTATGTTTTAATATTTTGTGGAAGAAAAAAATAACTATGGTTAAAGTATTTTTATTGAAGGGTTAAGTGTAGTTAAGAATCTAAAAATGGTATTACAACAATTCTTTTTTAGCTCTAAAGAATGGGAAGGAGAACCAGAGTTCGTAGAAGAACACCCGAAGATTTATGTACTTCATCAAGCATTCATTATCGAGGTAAGGGAAGAGTGAGTAATCTCGCTCTAGGACATGAGATAATTCATGAGATTTATGTTGCATGCGATGTATGAAGGGGAAACCCTATTGCTTTGCATTGGTAATTTGTTGTTTGTTCCATGACTCCTTAACTTCCTTATTGACGTTAATTGTAATTTTTGATAGTTAATTTGGAGTGATGAGCCCTCTTGATATGATTTGAGTTACCCATGAGAACCCTAAGGGAATGCATTTGGGAAATTGTATGAGGACATATTATGAGTATGAAATTATGTAAAATTGAGATTTAATGAGTTATTGATGGTATAATAGAGTAATATTAAGCTTTAATCTATGTTTTTACTGATTGGATTGGGAGAAGAGTTTGAATATGAGTTATGCCTAGTGCTGAAAATTCTAGTAAGAACATACCTAGGTATTTATATGATTTCTTTATATGTGATTAATGAAATTGAATTATTATTATTGGATTAGAAAGTACAGATTTGGGGCTACAGTTTAGACTCAAGAATCACATAAAAATGTTAAGGAATGATCGAGTTATGTGAGTTAAAAGATGAACGTCATATTTTGTGTGCAAAATGTAACATATGTATGTTGTAAGCCTTTCTAGTATACCTAAATGGTAGAATTAGGTTTTGTAATCTTCATAAACATTGTAGCCTTGGATGATATCTTCCAGATTCCATTGGAATTACCTAAAAAAGAGGTTTAGAACTCAAGTTATGATCAAATTAGTAAGTAGAGGTGAAGTTGTCAAATTTAGGCTAAAATGTTACGATTTTGTATTTTTTTTAAAAAATAGTAGATGGCATCATTAGCTCTTGAGGTCAACATAGAAAATGGATATAACTATCTTATCTTTCTAATAAAATTAAGATCAACTTAATATCATTTATATAGCTCGAGATAAGATGTTTGGATCACATGATATCTTATAAGGTTAAGTTGTGGAAATGTAGTTGTGAATGAGGATGATGAATAGTTTTACCCTTTAAGTATTTGATCTTATAAATGGTTTGAGGTACTTATATAAATTTTTAGAAAGGATGAATTATGGTATAAAACAATTATTAGTAAGTTATGATGTAAATTGATTGTTAATGACTTAAAGTGTTTTAATGATAGCAATGTCTAAGGACTTAATGTGTAGTAGTGATAAAGTTGTTAGACTAGTAATCAAATTGAGTTCCACTATCTTTAGAACAAAGATACACGTATTCTTTCAACAAGTCACTTATAGTTCAACCCTAAATATTCTTTGACTTATTTCTTCAAGCAACTACCTAAGTACCCTTTTTACAAGCTGCTCCAAGCTTAATAACCAAGTATTCATTTACAGATAAGTCTATCTAGGCACTACCTTACGACAATGGTTATAAAGATGTTGTTTTGTCTCACTTAGATATTATGCAACCAATATAGTATAATAAGCTTTGTACAAGAAAGAATGAAATTTATATACAAGTATGACTTACAAAACGTGTCTCTTTTTCTTTATAAACTTCAAATCTTCTTATATAGTAGCTTTAGAGAAGATAATTGTTGCAACACTTTGAATTCAACTTATAAGTTTGTTTCTTCTATCCTCAACTTCTTTCCTTATAATGAGAGATAACTATTGACTCATTTAATGCAAACATTAAATGTATTTTACCAAATGGTACCTTTTATCTAATAAGGAGGTTACTTATCATTTTTTCATACTAAACAAAACTCATAGAAACAATGTTAGTATAGAGCAGCAACAACGTTTTTATCTATTTTTCTTCGTGATTTCATGGATCTTCATCATTGGTTTTGATTGAAAATATGAGTTTGTTCTCTTTAACAAATTAATGATTTCTAAGATAGCTTTCTAGTTTAATATATTAAGAAATAAAACATTCAAATATATTTTGTCGTTAGTCTCGATAAATAATAAACATTTAATGTATATTTCATCTCATTTACGTTGAACAAACAATATGCATGTCTTACATTTTGTTTGATAATAATTTCTGAAGACATTAACATCAAAATTTCAAATCTTGAAAGATCTGAGATCAGCTTTTAACTTAACAAAGTATCCCACCAAATTGTTTCCATGTAAAGTAGGTGAAAATCTAACATTCTTAGATTAAAAAAAATATTTTACTACGATAAAAATATTATATCACCTTAATTTGCTTAGTTAATGCAATAAATAAGTTTACTTCTTAAATAATATTTATAAGCATTTCCAAAAATACTTATATCAAAAACTAATCATTCGTGGACATATTTAAGTATTGATTTTACCCTCTATCTCCAACATTGCTTAGAAATCCCTTCACATCTTTTTATGTACCCTCGGACCAACTCCATTACCTAATTTCTTAATTTGATATAACAAATTAAATAAATAATATTTATACACTAATAACATAAAGATTTTTTTTAATGTACTGATCCAATCCCTAATTATGTGATAACTTTTCAATTTTACAATAATTACTTTTCAAATCATACCTACCATAAATTTTGATTGGTTAACGGTATAAAAAAAGTCATACTTTGACAATACATTAAAATTAGACTTAATATTTGTTGACAAAAATTAGTCGGCACTTCCAACAATAAATATTTCGTATTACTGTCATGATTACCTAAAAAATAATTGGACTAATAACTTTTTAATGATTTGGTAACTACTTTCAATACAAAACCCTTCACATTACTTTCTATTTATTAATTTCTAAATCAATATCCACAAAACACTCAACAATAATATCTAAACTATAATAGACCATTATCATAATCAATAATAAATTAAAATGTTCACTTGAGATAACTATTAAAATCTATCTTTTTTCGGCGAGGCATATGATTCCTCTTTCTTCAAGTATTTCTCAAGTTGTATATTTGTACTTGTTTTGATGGAAATTTTAAAATGGCGCACACAAGTTTGTATATTTTAAAGCTATGTTAGACAACCTCTAAAGCCTTTTCTAAGGGCAGTTTCATCCAAATTCCTTCCAATGAACACAAGCTTGTTTATTCTCTTCTCGTTAGCTTCCCATGCTTTTCCTGGACAGCCATCCAACATGGATTGCACCCCCTGAAAGTATGAAGGAAAATGAGGTCAATCTGACTCAATTTTTTGATTTCTAGAAAATTTCAGTCTATAGGAAAGTGGGTGTTAGTAAATATGTTGCTAGCATTTCTCTAGTAGCATGATAGCATGTGCAAGAAGAGAACCTGCAACACATATCTTTGATCAGAACCATCCACAGACAAGACACCTTTCATTCTGTATAGGTCCTCTCCTTTTTCTTCAATCACTCTCTCAAGCCAATCGTCAACCTAGACCGTCATTTAAACCGAAAGTGAGAATAAAGCCATAACAAAAGCACCAAAGATGTGAAGGTTGAAATGAGGCATAAAGTATCAAACCTACAAAAACAACACGGTGATTTAAGATTATTTTATGAAGGGTTCGAATAAAAGAAACAATTACCTCATCAAGATCAAGAGTTCCCTCTGCAACAATACTGACACTGAAGACAGCAGAATCATGCACATGGTCGTGATGATGCTGATGATGATGCCCTTTGTGTTCTGTGGATATATTTGGAGAGATCAAGTCATGAAGAACCACAAGAAAAATGAGAAAACATTATAGAATCATTTTATCAATCAAATTGTGCAGACTTCGTTGTTATTATTATTATTGTTACTATTACTTAAGTAATAGTAGTAGTACTTTATTATAATCGTTATTATTATTAGATATTGTTAAAATCAGAAGAACACTGGTAGGATCATAGTTGTCAATCTTGGCTAGCAGAATGGAGCGGTCAACCTCAAAAATGAGATAGCGGGATTGCAGATAGTGGGATGACTGCTATTTTAATATTATATTTATATATTACATAATATATATATATAAAAAAAGCTAAAAAACAGAAAAATAATTCTAAATTCATGCAGTAATCAAGTTTAATAACCCATTGATGGTGTGGGACTAGGAGTGGGACCAGTTCCAGTAGCACCAGCCCCTAAGCTCTGAAATTTTGGTTGGGTCATGGTTCTGCTGATCACTAAAGAACAAACACGCACAAATAAAAAAAAATGAACAGAAAAAAAGAAGTGAACAACAAAAAAAGGGAAGAAAAAAATCACGAGAATGAGAAGAGAAAAAAATAGAAGAAAACAGAAAAAAGAACATAGAGAAAAAGAGAAAAAATATTGAAGGGAGAAGAGGACCAAAGAGAGAGAGTTCGAGAAGACGAAGTCCAAGAATATGTCCAAACAAAGAAGACAAAGAGAAGACGAACAAACATAGAGAAGATGCGCCAAGAGAGAGCCCAAGAACAGAAATGAGAGAGCATCGAAGAAGACGAGTCGAGTCTCGGAGGGACTAGGGTTGTGCTTGCTATTTGCACAAAGATGCCGCGTCGCACCCACTTTGCTTGCTATTTGAAACCACTCCGCTCCAGGTTAACATAGCTGCTCCAGGGTTAACGTAGCAGCACGGAGCCACTCCGCTCCGTGGTGCCGCGATTGCGGCTGCTATGGCCACTATTGACAACTATGGATAGAATAATAAAAGTTCCCATCCATTTCCTGTCCATTACACCCAGTATGCTCTGTGGCAGCTGTAGGAGCAGATCAGGGATGTCGATACAAAGAAACTTCTATAAATTAGCATATTTATAAGCTAATTAACTTTACTTTATAGAAAAAATCATTTCATTTTTACTTACTATTTTTTTTTCTCTTTAAGTACTTGGAGAAATTTACCAATCCATAAGAACCTATGATAACAGCTGTCCTGAACTTCACCTTCTTTTAATTTAAACATTTGTATACTAGGGATTTGAAGCCTTCTCCTATTTTAGCTAAATGAAGGTGTAATGCTTATTAATTTGATTTGCCTGATGAATGGTGATATGATATGACTATGGCTTGTTTTCGATAAACACCCTTTCAACGCACATTTCAGCCTTTGTTATTATCCCTATCTATTTCTTGCTTTCTACAGGTCTCACATCTTCTCAAGGACCCAACGTTCCTATTAATCCACAGCCATCAAATGAGATTGAGACTTTCTCAAATGATGAATATTATAGCTCTATTGCTTTTTCACCACCATTACTTTGTGAGTGGAGGGAACATCCTGCTTTGGATACTATATTAGACCGAGACAATGATTTTCATTTGCCGGATTGCCCCATCAGATCTATCTTTTGAACCTTCAGAAAGTCCCTCTTACTCGGGCAACAATTTAGATTGTGTTATCAGTTTTGATATTTCTTTAGGGTTTTTAATTTAATTTCATAAATAGGGTTTTCAATTTGGGCTTATTTATTCCTATTTGTTATCTAATGGTTTTATTTTAATGTGGATTACTTTATTTCATTTTAGAATATGTAATTAGGAATAACTTAAAAGAGAGTTGGCTACGTTGGATATATGGATTGATGTTTCCTTTGCTCAAAGTGTTTGAGACTTGAGTTGGAGGAGCACTCTGCCACAGAGGAGTACTCTAGGTTTATCAGGAGTGTACCATGCCAAGAGGAGTGTTTGTTGTCCTAAATCAGATACACATACACAAGACTAGAATTCTAATCGGAAGACGTCCACTTCATTATTTACTATTTCTGTATTATGCAATTCTACGTGATATTCAGTCAAATCTACAAGATCTATCAACAGCCTCTGTTATCCATTTGAATATCATTAGCCTTCTATGTGCAGCCAACTCTAACAACACAGTTGATAAAACAAATAAATATGTGGGACAACGTGTTTAGAAAAATTACCATGTTCAGAATCATCCTGATGGCTTGAAGAGGAGGGACATTCTCCAGGTACCTCCGATTCAATTCTGCAGTATCAAAGCCTTCTGATTGAAAAACAGAATTTTGAAGCAAATACAGAACATGTATAGATATGCATTGGGATTCATCAAACTTATAGCCATATTATCTAGGAAAGAAAAGGGAGGATGGCATGAAGGGATGCATCAATTACTATAATGTGAGCTTAAACATATAAATCAGCAATATGCTAGAAGATACAATTGAAGACCTATTACCTCTCAAGATCATATCCTCCCACACCCAGAACAAAGTCCATGTCAACAGATCCAAAATTAGCTTGCTTAATTTGTGCCATTCCGTTGATGTGCTAGCAACAATTCACAAAAATGAAGAACTACTTCCATCAGCACTATTTCTTGGGGAGCCAAATATATCCATACACAATGTTATAGAAGCTGATGAGAAAAACATATAAACAAAAATTAAAGGACAACAATCTGATACATTTCATCAAAAACAATTGGATCCATCAGAAAACATATAAACAAAAATCAAAAGACATCAATCTGATCCATTTAATAAAAATTAAAATTTCTCTCCCACTTTCTCTGACAAATGCACATTCATCATCATATCAAAATAACAGCATTACAAGGCTTTCATCAATCATAACAATTATCCCGTTCTTGAGAGGTGTTTATTTCACGGATTTTGAGTTCATTCTCAAGACAATCAGCTCTATCCATATTTGGAAAATCAGCAGGAGAGAACTAGTATCAAATATCAATCAACATGATAAACAAGGTTTTAGTACAGCATATTCAATACTTAATCTAATCCAATCTAACTATCAACCCCCCCCCCCCCCCC